GGAAGAAGGCGGTGGTGATGGATTGGACATACTCTCAGGACGCCAGGCAGCTTCATAACAAAAATAGTGTTGGATTGGAATCCTCAGGGTAAAAGATCAAGGGGAAGACCGCGTGAAACTTAGAGAAGATTCACAGAAATTGATGTACAGAAAAGTGGGAAGACATGGATTGGAATCAAGCGACTCGCCCAGGATAGAGAAAGGTGGAAAGTGCTTGTTTGTGGCCTATACCCTGGTGCAGGCTGAGAAAGGCAATGATGAAGATGAAGGGTTTGCCTATCAGTCAACAGTTCACTATTTCATTTTTTAATGTCACCGAAAAACGAACTATTTTTCTTTGTCTATCGTATATCCTCATTTCAGCCAACTTTTGTTCTAAGATATTATTTTTCTTTATCTATGTTATATCCTCATTTCAAACATTTTTTCAAACATTATTTTTCATTGTCTAATTTTAATCCTAAACCCATTCTCTTTTTTTAGGCATTATTTTTTTGGGTCTATTTAATAGCTTCATTTCAAGCATTTTTTTTTCTTTTATTTTGCTTTTGGGGAAGGCCCAGAACAACATACTTAGGGAACCTAAACAAATGGGTAACGGGGAAAGATCAGGGAAACGTATCTTTTTTTGGGGAGCATCCGAGCAAAGGAATGAATAGAGAATCCTGGTCGCCGATGTGTGTTGCAGATTTGGCACTGGATGACGATGATGATGATGATGATTTTTCTTTTTTCTATTCTGTGTGATCTCGGGCGTTATTTTTCTATGTCTTTTTATATCTTCACTTTATACACCATTTTTCTTTTTTCCTGTCGTATATACTCCTCTCAAACATTTTTTCTTTTTCTATTTAATATCCTCAATTCAGACATTGTATTTCTTTTTGTGTATTTGATATCATCATTCAAGACATTATTTTTCTTTGTCTATTTTATGTCCTCTATTCAGATTTTGTTTTTTCTATCTTATATCATCCCAGGCATTATCTGGCCCATCGAGGCGATGCCCAACTGGATGATGAAGATCAGCTACTTCCTCCCCATGACGTACCCGACATACGCCGTGCGATCCATCATGGGCCGAGGCTGGTCTATTCAGGACTCCCTCGTCTGGATGAGCTACCTCATCAGTATAGCCTGGATCGTCATCCACTCAGTGGTAGCCGGCGTCCTAATCCACTTCCAGTCCGACTGAATGAATATTGTCGTGTTTGTTTGATTTCGTTCTATTTTGCAAGTGCTGAGAAGCTCTAATTGGAATTCTTGTTAAAACTCCTGCTAAGAAACTCTTACTAAAACTCTTCTTAAAACTATAGTGCGGTCATAAATTCGCTGCGCAACTTATACTATTTACTTAATACATAACAATATCTTTTTAACGGATGAATCAATGTCACCCTAACTTTGCGCAGCAGTTTGTATCAGTTTGTCGTAACCTAATCATATTTTTTCACAACAATTAAGGCTAAATTTTAAAACTTTTCTTCATACATTTATTTTTTAAAATACTACAAATTTCCTTCACGCGAAAAATAGACCTGTTCATAGCACTTCCCGCTTCTCATACACATTTTGAGTACGCATATGACCTACGTCACAGCTCACCAATGAAACTTTTTAGAGGCAAAACTAGTTAAAAGAAATTAATTTTATACTGAACACTTTTTTGTGCTAACAGTTCTCAAAACAAGCGTTCAATAAGGATAGTATTACGATTAGAAGATAAAAATGGCCGCTAAATTTAGTTACTTTCAAAGCTCGAGTGTCCTTGAAAACTATAAATTTACCTTTTTGAATATCTTAGATCAACTGATTTTTTCCATTAAGATAGACACTAAACGTGTTTTAAAGGGCATGAAAAGTGTTACAGCAAAATAAAAAAAAGAAAGATTTAAAAAATGTGCCCAAAGACCAGAAAGATGCTGGTTTCTTTGACTTCATTATTTTGACGAATGCAGCCTAATTTTGCCACGATGACTCACATTTATTACTAGTGGTTTGGGATGCTAAAAGATGAATGTGTGGGTTCAGATGAAAAGTATTTTGTGGCGTTCTGTCTTTGATTGGGGCACAATATCGAAGTACAATGGGCGCCATTGTTCAGTCGTGAGTCATTAGAAGTTGGCATCACATTTATCATTGATACATTTTCAGTCATTTAGAATTAGAACAAAACTTACAAACTTTAAGATTTTCAATCTTTGGAAGCTGAATGAATGTCTGGCCTAGTGCTTTTTGGTGTTACTTAAATTGTCGTACTTATCTGTTGTAGGATGGGTTGAAATGAGCGGAGGTGAGATGAAAATATCTGTATTATTGTTCGTGCAACAGCATGAAGACAACCTTGAGACCATCTTAAGTTAAATTGACCGTCTGCATAGACGAAAAGAACCATACATATAAATATTATGGTGATTTTTAAAAACTGTAAAACTTTTTTAAAAATATGTCACACAAAATATTTACTAGAATCTTGTAATTTGGAACGTATCATATAATTCTTTCCAAAAAAATTTCTTTCATATAAATTTCGAAAAGAAGAAACTTATTTTCGAAAACGGAAATGGCTTTTCGAAAAACCACGTGTAAAATGCACCAATTTTAAAGATCTTGTAAGGAAAGCTATGATTTTTCCTTTCCCTTTATTTTTAAAATCTCATCTATCCATCCCTGTAAACTTTAAACAATATTTCTTTTCTCCTACAGAGTTGACAATTCTTTTTTAAATTCTGGAATTCCGTGAACCAATGGCCTATATGTCCTCCTTTGGACTCGACAGATTTTAACCTGTCGTTCGTAATGTTCAGTTGTGACCAAACGCAAAGATCCCCTCGACCATGAAAATTCAAAGACACACACGCTGTGCACCTTGCAGTATGAAGCTTTTTCTCGAGACAATTGGAAGGGGGGGGGAGAGATTGCCCAAATAGACATCATTTGTGGAGTTGGAATAATCTGAAAGATAAATATGGGCTTTGCCAAGGAACCAACTGGGATAGAGGAAAATGTTCACTCTTTTCAAGACGATCGATGAATCATGAACACATTGCTATCCTCTGATAGCTTTGCCAACAGGAAAATGGTCTCTCATAGATGAAGATCTGCCTTGAGAATGCGGACCATTGAGATGTAGGAAAGTCATTGCTGCAGACATCGTCTACGGACAGACATCTCATGGGGCTCATCTACTGAATTCTGCACCCTTGTGACGTTTAAAGGGGTACAAACGGTGTGTGTTTGACCTGAAGTGATTGTTTTGTCTGTCTTAGTTCTGATTCTCTACATGTCCTAAGTGATGGACCGTTTTCACCCTTGACATTAAAAAAGGCCTTAAGGGTTTTAACATTATTTCCGTACCTTGTGCGCAACTTACGAAATGAGTTGGTGGGGATGAAATGTTCAATACCAAAAGCTCTCTTCTCTTTACTAATCTTGACCATCATCTCAGCAGGCAAAGCAAACTTGAGAAAACTATCTGCAAACTTCTGTTGGCCTGTTTGACCGCTGTCGCTTGCAATATGGTGCAATCATTGGGATTTTAGTGGTAAGTCTAATGTGAACTAGTGGGTCATGCTACAAAAATGGAGACATAGCTGCAAATGGGTTGTTTTTTTATGCCCTTCGAAGACAAAAACTATTTTGTGGATTTATTTCTATTTCTATATTATATTGTGTTTGTGAAAGTTCACACTTTGGCCGCCTAAAACTTCGGAACCACTTAACTGTCGAATTTTACTAAATTAATTGTGGTTCAGAATCATTTAAAGGGTGCACAGTTTCGTTGAGGAGCCTGAAGTCACTGTAGTTTAATTTTCAGTTTTTCACTAGTTTCGTTTAGATCTAATCTTGGGAAAGTCCTACTTCTAATACGCCATTGTAAACAAGTGAGGTTTCCACTCACTAGGTGTGCACACTGATTCCACACCTTTTAAATTCTGGAGTGTACGACCACGAAAGCGGAATAGAGACTCAACCAACAGACGTCACTTTTGTCTCAAGATTTTTTGCTCCATTCCAATGACTTTCAGTTGATGTTAATCCTTTCATCGAAAGGGGACCCAGTTAGTCTAAAATGAATATCAAACAAATTCCTTTTGACTTCTAAATGTTGTGTACAAATTTGAAACGCAAAACTTCAGTGTGGGGGGAAATAGTAACAAAGAAAGTCGTACCGTTTTTTTTATCACCCAGTATAAATATACATATTATTGTCATGACGCAGTGGAATCAGGCGTTCGTCAATTTTTCGATACGTGTTGTTATTGGTATCATCCGAAAGTTTATTCTTTTGCCTTGCTTTCAATTTTTTTTTTAAATATCCATTTTTCTTGAAAAGGAGTCAAGATGTTTGCGGTTGATTGAGGTGAAGTCTCCTGGTGTCAGAGTTGAAATTAGCGAGAAAATGGCTGCCAGTGTTTGGTAACTCCAATACCTAAAGAATCCTTGAAAACTGACAAATGACATATTTTGTGCCTTTAACTAACGCTTTCAGTAAAATTTACATGGACATGTGTTTAACAAGGACATAGAAGGGGTTGAGCCCAAAAAATAAGAAAGTTCGATCAAAATTGACAAACTTGTGAAAAAATGCTTGTTTCTCTGATTTTGTTATTTTGACGAGCCCCTGAATCCACCATGATGCCTCTTATTATAGTTTTCTGTAACGCTTTCTGTGCCATCACGTTAATTTTTTGAATGGATGCAACATTTCAGGTTTGATTATAGGAAATCTAAATAAATGATTTTGTTTCAGTTGGATGTCTATTGATGTTGTTATACGAGAATATGGAAAATAAAGAACTAAATCTAAACTTTTTAAAAAGTGTGCCCATTTATATGTATTGTTGCTGCACGCGCGCGCGCGCACACACACACACACACACACATGCACACACACACACACACACACACACACACACACACACACGCACGCACAAACACACACACACATACACACACATAACTATATTTTTCATACTTATACAAACGAGCACTCCCACACACCGGTAGATAGATAGATAGATAGATAGATAGATAGATAGATAGATAGATAGATAGATAGTTAGATAGATAGATAGATAGATAGATAGATAAAACAAACCCTTAGTAAGAACCAAGTCATGGTGCTATTCTCTCTCCGTACGTGTGCACGACTTTGAAATGAGAAAGAAACCGTTTGTTCATTCATCATTAAGAGAATATCTTTAACTTGACTTCAATGCATCCATTTTGCTGTGCAATGCAGCACCATAGCAAACGTCAATTGAACATAATTTAGGACAGGTGTGGGTTGCTATGACTTGTGAAAAATATAAGCGTAGGCCTAGCTAGCCTACTGCGTTTGTCAGCGCTATTTTGTTAAAAGCCGGAAAAGAGACGGCACAAATCAAGTATGCGAAGCGAACTAAGGAGTTCTTTTCCTTTTTAGTGAGTATTCCCAATTGTGGTCTAGATCTAGATCTAGATTTAGATCTAGATGTTATCTTTAAGGTAATTAACATACGTAGAATCTAGTGAGTAGATATAGATTAGATCTAGTCTATCTATAATCTAGATGTAGTCTGTGATCAAGGCGCCCTGAATGGAGTTTGCGTAGTATTAAAGCTTTTTTCTAGGGCTGCACTGCAGTAACGTAGTCACTGCTTCCAAAATCTCTTTGACTGAACGTACTTCCAATGGAATTTTAACCTAGATCTAGATCTAGATCTATGTCTGGTTTTACGAGCCCCAAACTAGAGATTGACCCAAAAAGAAAGATCTAATGAAGACTAATGGGATCAAAGAATTAAAGAGTCTTGGCCACATCGCAACCTCCGAATTACAGTGTTCTATCTCACATTCTTGGCCGTTTACTAGATTCTAGATCTAAGACCATGAGGTTTTGAAAGTGAATATTCTCTCTGATCTATCAATATCGTTAGGTTATTCGGAATTGCAATCCAGATATTCAAAGAATTGCATTCGCAAAAGTTTGACATATTGTGAAATTTTAAAAGATTTGAAGTTAATTTTCTCTAAACTAATCTAGATCTAGATCTAGATCTAGATCTAGATTACATCTAAGAGTTGAGAAGATAGAACTCTGTAATTCTGAGGCAGCTACATCTTGCTAAAGACAAAGAAATCTTAGCATGACAACACGCGCTTCCTCATATTTACAAGGCACAAGTTCCTATCTGTTCAATGTCTAGATCTAGTTTTGATAAATTTGACGTGAAAAAGTTTTAGTTTCACAATTTTATGTCAAGCTTTTTTTAATGCAATTCTTTGAATATTTTGATGACGACTATGAACAATCGTACGTTTTGAGACAGCAGATAGACCATTTTCTTTCTAACCTCACGGTCTTAGTAACTCAAAACGGCCAAAAATGTCAGATACAATTTTGTAATTCTGAGGTAGCAATACGCCATATTATGCAATATGCATACCATAGCCTAAGAAAAAATAATTGGATGTCTTTCAAGAAGAATAATGGCCTTTACGTATTACCCAAACACGGTTGTATAACATGCTTGAGTTCAGTCCAGCTTTTTCTTCACGTTTCTTGAAATGACCTCAAAGTGACTGTGCCCATTAATTTACATGACACTTTGAATTTCTATCTCAGAGCAACAGAAAAACAAAACGTACGATTTGAAACAACACTACCACTTTAAAAAAAGACCTAAAGTCCTTATGCAAAAGTGAAAATATTTAAATATTCAATTTCAGTGAAAATGCCTTTATTATCTTTCTATCTTTCTATCTTCATTTCGTATTGATTTCTCACTACCCAACCCCAAAAGATTAGATTCGACCATTAGACCAAAGGCTACTACTTAAAACCATCTTTACAAATTTACGATTTCACAAAACAGGCAAATTGTTACATACTAGATTTTCACTTCAGACTGGAGGCCAGTAGGAGACCAAACTGGAGACATTTGCCCCAATGTCAGGGATTCCGCTCCTGTGCTTCTCCACTTTGTTGGTCAGACTGACAAGCGCTGGAATCAATGACGATTTGTGTACGTTATAACTATTATTATAGTGATGGGGGAGCGGAGGAGGAGGGGGAGGAGGAGGGGGAGGAGGAGGGGGAGGAGGAGGGGGAGGAGAACGAGCAGTTAGACGATTACTTTCATTCATTTATGTAACATTGTGCTTTAAAAAAAGCTATCAGAAGTTCACTGGCATTAGTTCGCCATTTTATTATTATTATTATTATCATTATTATTATTATTATTATTATTATTATTATTATTATTATTATTATTATTATTATTATTATTGTTGTTGTTGTTGATGTTGTTATTATTACTATATTACTATTGATATTATTGTTATTGTTATAATATTATTATTTTCATTATTGTTCTGAAGAAGAAGAAGAAGAAGAAGAAGAAGAAGAAGAAGAAGAAGAAGAAGAAGAAGAAGAAGAAGAAGAAGAAGAAGAAGAAGAAGAAGAAGAAGAAGAAGAAGAAGAAGAAGAAGAAGAAGAAGAAGAAGAATGGTGATAATAATAATAATAATAATATAATTATAATTATAATAAAAATTATTATTATTATTATTATTATTATTATTATTATTATTATTATTATTATTATTATTATTATTATTATATGGATAATTTGTTTACATTGTAATTACTGTCATAGTCTATGAGTCAGGTAGGAGGCGTTAGGCGTGAAATTATCCAATTACTTTCTTTCATTTGAGCAGCTTTGTGCTTTAAAAAATATGTATATAGTATATAATATACATATATATATATATATTATAATATATATATATGTATATGTATATATGTGTCTGTGTGTGTGTGTGTGTGTGTGTGTGTGTGTGTGTGTGTGTGCATGTGTGTGTGTGTGTGTGTGCATGTGTGTGTGTGTGTGTGTGTGTGTGTGTGTGTGTATGTGTGTGTGTGTGTGTGTGTGGGACCCAATTGCGTGGCAAGGAGCCAATTGCGTGTCATGTTGCCTATTTCGGGGCAAATTCCTAAACACAAAGAGGCTGAATGACATGCACGGTGCTGCACCATTGCCAGTTTCATGTCAAAAGAGGAAGACCAAGAAAGACCTGACTGGGTGGGGTTTTAAATTGTCCTGGAACAACGTAACTAATTAACATATCTATCTCAGACGACGAAACTTCAACCTCCCCTCGACTTCCTAAGGATACCAGAGGAAGGAAAAAATAAAGTAAAGTGAGAATTGAGGAGCAAAATTGCTCACTATGTTGCAACTGGCATCTTTCTCCAGGGTTGTTTCATCTGTGGAAAAGTGTAACAGGCTTATTATGCTTCCAGTACCATGAGTCATGGAAGGAGGACCGCGATGGCGATTGTAAGAGAAATAAGATGACAAAAAGGACATACATAATGTAGAGAGAAGTTATGTGAAGTTGAAGAGCAGGTAGGGGGATGAAGAAGAAAAGAGAGGTACGGTTATTAAAATAAAAGGGGAGTGGGAACACACGAAAGCACACACACACACAAACACACACACACACACACACACACACACACACACACACACACACATACACACACACACAAACACACAGAGAGAGGGGGGCGGGGCGGGGGAAGGGGGGGATTTGGGCGGGGGGTGGGGGGCATGCAGCGGATCCCACATTCCAATTCATAGCATTTTTGGTTCTAGTTCAAGTGACAGAAAAGAAAGCTATAGACCTAAGAAACTTTATCAAGCAAATAATTACATCAGATACTTTTGTTTTGTTTTGTTGTAAGCGTTTTACGGCGCTCGCAACTGCATAAGGTCATATGAGCGCGCGGGACACACCGAATATTTTCAGTTGGTAGTAAATTTGAAATTTTTGCCCGGTTGGCGGCCGAAGCCTACTCTTATCGATTTTAGGCCACCGAGGGACCTTTAACGTGCGCAACTTGCACACGGGCCCTCCGAGATTTTTCGCCCTTGTCCGAGAAGGTTAGGTGTAGATCTTTCCTACCAGAAGATCAGGGTGTGGCTGAAAGACAGCTGTAAGAAGAAGCGAAGGAGTAGCAGTAGAAAGGCTGCAGAAAGAATCAGGAGCCCAGAGGATGGGGCAAAGGAGGTGGGGGCAGAAAGAGGAAACGAAAGCAGACGACAGAACATTGCTAGAGAGCAGGAAATGAGGTGAAAGGAGACAAATTTAGAGAAGAAAATGTTTCGGTCGCTACCCGGATTCGAACCCGGGAGCTTATGAATGAGAGGCCAACACCTTAACCTGTAGGCCACGAGACCCCCCTCAGATACTTTGATAGGCCCCTCAATTTAATTTTGACTGTGTTAACAACACGAGTCCAGACTCTTCATACTAGATCTAGGCCCTGACCTACGCAATGAAAGGCTTTGGACAGGGAAAAAAGGAAGGAGAAAGTCTCTTTTTTCTCTATACTATCGAATAAACTAAGGCAAAATGTAAGGTCAGTGATTATAAAACTTATCAAAATTGATTAACTTTTCAAACTGAAGTTTAAAAATATCTCGGCGATGTATTCCCCTGTCTCGTACATTTCAAAAAATGAACAGAGGGAGCCAAAAGCTCAAGGCGAAAAGTACATGACGTCACGGCTCGGCGCGATGTCACGGTGGAAGGGCTCAGCTAGGTTTTCGCGGATTTGATTGATAAAAGGGTAAAACTTCACTAGCCAAGGTAAGACTTCCACGATAAAAACTTAAACGTTTTCTGGAAAAAGAAAGAATGGTTTACCATCAAGGGTAGTTTGTCAAAGATATGGCTAGAAAATTTATCAAAAATCAAAGGTAAAAAATTGTTTATTTTTCAATTTGAAATATCTCGAGACTAATTAGTCGCACATCGACCTAAAAAAAACGTTCTGAGGGCCATCCAAGTATCGGACTTGAAGGCTGGTCCCCTAAATCAAACAAAAATGTGGGCAGTTCAAACCCACTGTCGCGATGTGACGTCATGTCCGGAAACAAAACCCAATGGGACTTTCCGAAGCCGAATCACGCTGTCGTAAGCGCGTTCACTGAAGGGCCTACTTATAGTGTGGTCAAAAGTTCGTTGTGCAACTCATCCTGAAATATCTCTTTAACGGGTGAATAAATGTCATCCATACTTTGATTAGCAGTTTGTATCAATTTGTCTTAACTAAATCATATGTTTCTAGAACAATTGGGGGTAGATTTGAAAACGTTTCTTCATAAATATATATATAAAATACTTGTCACACGTAAAATGGTATAGTTCACAGCACTTCCCGCTCCTCAACACGTTTTGACTAGATCTACGCATATGGCCTACGACACAGTTCATGAATGACAATTTTTACTTGCAAAACTTGTTACAAGAAATTATTGCTATAGTGAACACATTTTTAAATTAATGGTTCTCAAAACATGCGTTTAATAAGCATAATGTCCCGATTACAAAAACCTGACGGACTTGATATTAAAAGTGATATTGCCCCTGCTGTAAACATTTAAAAATCAGTATAAACCCCGCACTTGGATTTTATAAAAGTAATTATGTAGGAATTTTCTAGAATACAGCTTGCAGGTGTTTATAAAAATATTAATTTGTTAAAACAATGCAAAAATTGGAGAACTTATGTTCGATAGCTGAGGAGGTATTTAAAAATAAGTCGCACCTCGAATTTTTTACCGCACTATAGAAGAAAACACTTCTTTGCCAATATCGTGTCCGAGATTGCCAAGGATAGCGATGCACGGCCGCGCACAATTATTGAGCACTGTAGTTGAGGTTTAGACATTGACTTTGTTCGCAAAAGTATTGAGCAATTCTTTCCTGACAAGTTGGGCATGTACGGAACCTGCAAGATGAATAGGTTATATATAAGTGCCGAACGTTAGAGGTATTACCATAGAGTAACATACACAGAAAAGAAGGAGGAGAGATAAGGACAACAGATGTTTGATAGTAAAGAAGAAGCTAACCTTACCGGAGCGCGCACCAACCACCGACAGAAAAATGAGAAAACTCCGACATTGTAGTTCAAGCAACTCTTGCAGAATCTCAGAAAAGTGTTGAAGAGCATTCTTTATCCTGCAGGAACGACGCCAAGAGAAACAAGGTCATGGGCGTGGTTTTAACTGTACAATGCATAATGATAAGATGCATCCAAATCAATATCATCATGCAGAGTTTTGATTCCTTGAAATAAATGCCCCAACCCAGTTCAGTCTTCAACGATATAAAATATATTTTGTTGGGAGGTGTTGTCGAATTGCAATGAGTCGTTCCTGGAATTTTTCCCCAATTCAAAATGTTCGATTATGTTCAGTTAGTTAACGTGTTTTGAATCAGGGAGAGGGTTGGTTTGAAATAAAGTAGTAAGCCATGTCACAAATATGAAACTGGCCCAAGAAGAGACCGAATCCAGTTGGGATATATTCTATTTCCATACGCTTATGTTTTCTGCCGAACAAGTATCTCCGGATTGCGCCGTGGAATGCTTGCACCATGTATGAAGCAGGAAAGAGTTCTCAAGTGGCACAAGAGATGAAGAGATACAGGCTGCACATACTAGGAATCAGCAGATACCCACTGGATACACACTTGACAGATGCAGCTTAGCTCGGGGGAACAAATATTATATTCTGGGAGGGAAGACAAGCACCATGCGGAGGGAGTTGGAATTATTTTCAGTAAGTATGCACAGAAGTCACTTAGAGGATGGGAACCACACGGGGAGAGGATCATCATGGCTTCTTTCACTACCATGAGTAAGAGCATCAACATGAACATAGTACAGATCTACACCGCAACAAATGAAGCTTCAGATGAAGACAAGGATTCTTTTTCCAGCCGGCTCCTTGGGTCATCGACAAACTATCAAGGAAGGATGTCAACATCATAATGGAGATGCCAATGCCAAGATTGGTCAGGACAACGTAGGTTCTGGGGGAATCATGGAACAACATGGCTTGGAAAAGTGAATGAGAACAGCGAGCGATTTGCAAATATCTGTGCTTTTAACAGTTTCGTCATTGGAGGGTCTGTTTTCCCCCACAAGAGGATTCACAAGGCTACTTGGGTATCATCAGATAAAGTGAAGAGGAACCAGATAGGTCATTTTTGTATCTCTCGTAGTTTCAGGCGTTCACTAGAAGATGTCACCGTACAGAAAGGTGCAGACGTTTGATCGGATCATCATCTGCTGTTAGCAAATCTCAAGCTTCGTTTCAAAAAGCACGGAGCCAGAACAGGAACCAAAAGAATGAAGTTCCAGTAAGTCTTTTAGATGGACACAAGAAACAGGAGTTTCAACTGCAGTTGAGGAACAGATTTCAACTCTTGGCGGATCTTGGTGAGGAGGACATGGAGGTGGAGTTGCAGTTGACCAAGGTCAAAGCAGTCTTTATTTCAACATGTCAAGAAATACTCGGTGAGAAGAAATTGGAGCATAAGGAATGGATTAGCCAAAGGTCATTGGATTTAATTAGCATTAGAAGTCAATTGAAAGCAAAGACAAATGCTACAAGGACTCTTTCTGGAAAATATGGGAAACCAGAAGTCATAGTAAAGGACCAAGAGGGAAAAACCATTGTTGGAAAGGAAGCTTAGTCTAGACGATGGGTAGAGCTTTTCAACAGTCTCCTGAACAGACTAGACCACCACCAAATAACCCGCCAAACATCTTGCCAGCAAGAAATGAGTGATGCTCCATCTGGATGCCATTAAGAAGCTGAACACCTGTAAGGCGGCCGGTCCTGATCAGATTCCTCCTGGGGCCCTAAAAATATATGCCATTGTGACAGCAGACCCCTTTCTCCCATTGTTTACCAGGATCTGGAATGAGAGCAAGTTCCCAAGGGATTTGAAAGAAGGACACCTTGTGAAACTTCTTAAAAAGGGGGATCTCAGCAACTGCAGCAGCTGCAGCAACTACCGAGGAATCACTCTTTTCTCAGTACCAGGTAAGGTCTTCAACAGAATCATTCTGGAGAGAATCAAGTCTGCCACAGACCCAAGACTTCGGGATGAACAAGCTGGTTTTCGGAAAAACCGGTCAACCACGGACCAGATTGCTACGCTGAGGATCATAGTAGAATAGTCCTTGGAGTGGAACTCCCAGTTGATCGTCAACTTTCTTGACTATGAGAAGGCCTTTGACAGCATAGACCAAGCAACGCTGTGGAAGATATTGCGACATCACGGAATCCCATAGAAGTTGGTTAACCACTTAGAGGGCAGGTAGGAAGGGACAAGTTGCAGGGTATACATGATGGCCAGCTCACTGACAGCTTTGACATCAAGACCGGTGTGAGATATGGATGTTTACCATCACCTTTCCTCTTTATCTTGGCAATCGACTGGCTGATGAAGGGAATCGCAAGAGGACACAGAAACGGCAGACAGTGGACCCAATGGACACCATTGGACGATCTTGACTTTGCAGATGACTTGGCGCTTCTGTCACACACTCAGGAACAGATGCAAGCAAATGCAACAATTTTATACAGCCTATCAAGGTTTGTTGGATTGAGGATCCATCCCGGAAATTTTAAGGTTTTACTGTGGAGCCTAAAGTCATTGTAGTTTATAATTTTCAGTTTTCATTAGTTTCGTTTAGATCTAATCTTCGGAAAGTCCGTATTCTAAGACGCCATTGTAAACAAGTGAGGTTTCCGTTCACTAGTCGTTCCCACTGTTTCCACTACTTTGAAATTTTGGAATGTACAACCACGAAAGCGGAATAGAGAATCAATCTATACATGTAATATATATTTGGCAACTTGGAAACACATATGTCACGTTTCCCCTAAAACTACAACAGTTACAGAATTGAAAGTTCGTAAGTACCTGAAAGACAGTACCTCACGAAGGAGCCCGATTTTTTATTTTTTCATTTCCTGAATTTAAAAAAATATATTTGACAAAACGTTCCCGACCTTCTTTGGCCTTTGTGATTATTCCACTGAGAAACGAAACAAATCTGCGTAGCTGTCCTTCTCAGCGGAAGTGCCGGAACTGATATTTTGCGAGGCGCATTTTCTATAGATCTAGACCTTCTAATTTTTTTTATTCTCTCAAGATTAATAGCTTCTTTCCAATGGAGTGTAAATATAGTAGGCCAAAATGACTTTCAGTTGATGTTAATTCACCGATCATTCCTTTCATAGAAAGGGGCCCCAGCTAGTATAATATAATCTAGAGCTCGCAGCAGTGACGTCACATGTGTTAGACATGGAGGCCTTTTTACCCTTATCGGCATGGCCTGCGTGCCCCCATTTACATGATCAATTTGAGCCCCCACCTCGCTCCCCACGAAATCTAGTATAGAAACCACCCTGCCCCCATATTTCAGTGAAAGTTTTGTAGAATTCCTCCTAAGACTGTCGTGAGTCTCGAAAAGTACTCACTCGTCGGTTAAACTGCGCAAGTCTTGATCTTGAGGCTCAGAGTCACAGAGTGGGTGGTTGGTGGGTGCTCTGGTGTGGTTTGCTCCTGGTGTGGTTTGCTCCTTCTTTCCTATCAAACATCTATCGTCCTTATCTCTCCTCCTTTTTTCTGTTTGTTACTCTCTTGTAACACCTCTAATCTTCAGCACTTATTTGACCTTGTTGTGTTGCAAGTGCCATAAAACTCTTACTAAAGTCAAACTTAAAGAGTCACAGAGTGGGCCTACGCAGCCGGGGACATCGCTTCCACGAACTCTAGTACTTAATATAACCGCTTTGGTGTGGATACAGAGCATTGGAGCGAGAACATAATAGTTACGAGTCACGACACTCGTCAATTTTCGTGCATGTGGAGTCATCGGCATCGTCCTGAAGCTTGTTCGTTTGTCTTGCTTTCAATGAAATAAATATATATCTACCTTGAATACGAGTCGAGATAAATGCAATTGAAAGAGGTAGTTTTTGTATGGTTTCAGATGTAAAATTGCCGAAAAATGGCCTCTAAAGTTTGGTGACTTTCAAAGTTGGAAAGTGTTTAGAAATAGCAACTTTGCATGCTTTTGTTTCTTTTATTTCTGTCACAGTTTTTCCGGTAGTCTTTATAGAAACATGCTTTTAA